AATGTAAGTTTACTTTGCTATGTGTTATGATCTCTTATATCGTCATATCATTTCTTTCCTTAACTTACTCTTACTACTAAGAAATACTTCAATATATTTGGGAATAAATAATTATTAAAATATTATTTACTATAATTAATTTAAAATAAGCATGTGTTTATTACATTATTAATTTAATGATATAATCATTAAACGTCTAAGTATTTTTTATTAACTTAATCATTTATTTTATGCTACAGATTATTGAAACAAATTTATTACATTTTCCAAAATTTCCTTTCCTATTTAAAATATTATTTGATCAAAACTGCGGAATAATATTTTCACTGCTGTTTGAAATAATGTCTCTTTAAATTTTGCGCAGCTTTTTCTCAAATACGTTAGCTCAGAATTGAAGCGTTAAGCCTTTGCTTTCGTAATAGCAGGTGTGCTGGGATTGTGCGTTCTTACCAACTCGGAATGCCGTTTCCTCTCGCATGAACATTTTTGTTTCTCTCATTGCACACAATTATATGAAGGCAACATGCATCTATTTCTTGAGGTTTCAGCTATAATGTCAGTTATCAGCACAAGTTTCCAAGGAAGATCGGAGTGACTTACTCCAGAGTAGACATACATTAATAAATTGATGCGCAGTGAGGGACAAAAATAATTCAAAAGATAAACGATAAGAAAGAAACTTCGTAATTTTACAATGTGAAACTATGGATTATAATAGCTATAGATTTTTCATAAATTATTATATTTTTTTATTTACACGTACACACACTAATGTTTTGTTAATAGTAGTATTTCATATGTTTAAACTGTAACTAAAATTTGTTATACAATAACAGTTCTAGTTTTAATGGAATTCAGATCGAAGTTAGATGAAAAATATTGTGGCTGTTCGAATTTTGGAATATTTTTCAATAAAAATTGAAAATGTAATTTTTAAAATGTATTTGAAATGATTAACCTGTTAATAGAAATCTTTTCTATTTATAAGCACATTTTTCTTTCAAATTTTAGGTACGTTTTTCTATTAATTACGATGAATTATTTGTTAAAACGTGTTAATATAGATGACACCAGTTATTCTTCTATTAATTGTAACCTTTATAATACTGTATGGATATTTAGTAAGATTGTTAAATCTTTTTATCTTCATTAAGAGTCTAACATGTACCAATTTTTTGTTGTTATTATTTATTGTGTAATAAATTTAACAAAATCACAAGAATTAATTGTAGTTTGTCTGTTTTATAATTAAAGCGTTCATCAAAGAAAGGATGCGGCAATAAAAATTAAATAAATAAAAGATAGCATGCAAAGTAACTATTAATTTTTTAAATAAATCATCGTCAGCAATGTTTAAATTACTTACAACTTAGACGAAAGATAGAATGAAACCATTAAAAATATTTAAATAGAAAGATACTTTATATACAATTGTTAGACAAATTTTTCTGCGCCAAATATACGTATAAAATTAAAAAATTATATTGCAAACAAGAAATTACTGTATATAAACGAATAAAATCATAAATATTTACAATAAATACGTTTCAAAATTTTTAATATCCTAACAAAAAGTCTTTTCGAGAAATAAATATATAAGGCGATTTAAATACAGCCATGAAAGAGTGTTTGTTGAGAGAAGACAAAATCTCTTGTCTTACCAATATACATAACCAATACTGAATTCAATGTAACAGGATATTGTGGTTTGGTGATGGGTTTTATTGTTTGTGAATAGAGGGAAATGTTATTTTATAATGAAAAACAACTGCTCGAGTTTGTGTCAAGTTGCCGGAGAAAACTACAAATGTAATATGGAAAGAAAAATAACTGACAAAAAGCTATTTCATTTTCTGGTGGAACAATACAGAAAATCTATGAATCGAAAGTTATTAGTGAATATTAACCCTTTATATGCCAGGAGAAATTTGCGTACATATTCGAGAAATGCCAAACAATTTTAAACAATGATGCATGATTATGAACAAAAATTTATATTTCGGTCAATTCTGAGCTAAAGTTCATAAAATTTTTACTCAATACTAAAAACATATTAGACATCCTTCATTACTAATAAAATCAAAAAGGAACTTTTAGCAGATGCATAAAGAAACGATATATCGCCCCTTGGCACTCACAGGGTTAATAAAAAAATGCTAAACTGATGACTGTACAAATTACACCCATTAAAATTAAAATTATATTTTTCTTGTCCAATATGTTAATAAAAATGTAGTTATGGAATCCATCGTTTACAGATGTTAATACATATTTGATATTGTGTTCACTGAAATGTAAATTGTGTATAAATAAATATTAATTCTTTTGGGTAAAATGAAACAGCTATTGCGATATAATAAATTTATTGTCAGTAATCGAATGTTCAATCATATTTGTTAAATGCTGTGCCGCAAATATAAACTGTAAATTTTCTTTCATCTATCGTAATACGTAAATAACAAAATTTATTGCTTTGCATTCATAGTAAATAAACAATTTCAACTATTATTTTCAACTTCCTTTTTCCAACGATGAAAGTGTCTATCTCTAAACTAAAGTGACTATGAATTCTTGATAAAAACTGTATAAAAATAACAAGATTGCATATATCAAGAACTTTATGAAATTTCATTGAAATATATCCAGGTGCACGTTAATATATTTTATACTTTCTCGGAAGACACTTTCAATAATTACGTGCATGATGATCACTAGGAATCATAAATGGGTTACTTTAGTTAGTTCGACACTTGTAGTATTAATTACCGAGTTGATGACAGGAAATGTCGAAACGTTTTCAGAGCAGAATTGGTCAAAACATAATTTGATTACATATTAAGGCTAACGATTAAAATGCAACTCTTAGATCTGTTGCATATTACTTCCTGTAATTTATAATCAAGATTTACCATAACTACTTCAATTACTAATTTACGTTCTCAATATATAATGTACTTTCACTCCTATATTATATTTATCGTTCAATTGTCATAACAATTAACGGTTACAAAAAGAAGTACAATAAGTAACTTCAATTTTTGAATATTTTAAAACTTTAGTGATGAGACCATACATCTGATTAGTCCTTTTCGTATTGTTGTTGATTTAGATCATCAAATTATTCTCACTTTTATTTTGCAGAATTAATTACTTCATCGAACGATTTAATTAATTAATGATCGAATCAACAGCTTCATTCGAATCATGGTTAGCAACGTATAATCATATCACATTTTGTTCAACCGTGTTTCAGAATACAAGAAGTTGACTTGTGCAGTGAGAAAAACTGTAATAAAAATTTTCGAATCAATTGTAAAAAATCAATATCATTTACTGTATATGGTTCAAAACAAAAGATTATCTTACTATTATCAATCTTTTATCTTCAAACCAAACACCTACTTACAATTAACCCTTGACATTAAAAATTTCCTTCGTTGCTTCTATTCATTCTTTCCTTATAAAAATAATAATATTTTCATAATATTTCATTTCATTATCTCATGTATCATTACATTATGCAAAATTTGATATTGAACATCGAAGATTATAATTTTGCTCAAACCAAATAGCAATTTCGTGTCGTTATTCAATTACAGAGGGCAATTTCTCCGCCTCTTCACAAACTTATCCGTATTAAAACAAATCACGTTAAAGTCGCGTTATAATTAACGTTTTAAATTATTTTTAACACTAGAATAACCGTACTTGTCAAAATAACGGTTTTCAGTTTTCTTATTTCGCAATTATTGGTGTCTTAAAAAATAAATAGTTTCACTCGAATATTATAATTAACATAGGAAAAACTCAAAGAAAAATCTATTGTTACAATTTTTATAAAGACTGCATATTAATCACATTAAACTCTCGCTTGTTCTAGTGTTAAGAGTGTTAAAAATCCGAACTGATTTGAAAAATAAATATATTCACTGGAATACTATAACCAATGTATGACGAAATCGAAGAAAAATCTATTGTTACAATGTTTATAAAGATTACATGTTAATTATGTTAAATTGGAATAAATACTGGAACGAAAATAACAAAAGAAAATATGACTTGTGTGGAGAAGGCTTTGGCAATTTGGAACACTTAATTAGAGACTGTAGAGAAATCGAGGGAAAGGTAAGATTAGAGGATGTAGTGAGTGGTAGGAAATATAGGAAAATTGAAGAATGGCTTGAAAGGTTAAAAAATAGAAAAAAGGAGATGAAGAGTGGCAGTAGAAATAATGAATAGAAATAGATGTAAAATTAGAGAAACTATAGATACACTATTGATAGGAAGAGATATTACTATTACAATTATTATTAAAATTACTATTAGAAGTTAAATGTTGCAATGAATAAAGTATAATAAGCAGTATGAGTGTGAAGGAAAAGTGTGAATAATTGAGATAGAAATGTATACCGAGTATTATAAAGCGAGTTCCTATTCACAGTCGCTGAGGCTGAATAAACCAAATTATATATTAATCATATTAACACTAGAACTACCGTATCAGTCAAAATGATTGGTGTTGATTTTTTTGTTTCGCAATTATTGATGTCTCAAAAATATTGAATATTCAAAACGATCTGGAAAATAAATAGTTTCACTTGAATACAATTTTTATGGGGATTACACATCAATCGTATTAAATTCTCGGTAGTTCTAGTGTTAGTAATACATTAAGTTAGTGTTACTTTTCTTTTAAATATATCTCGCCGCAATGTAAAACAGTTCTGATTTCCCTTAATCTCTAATAAATAAATAAATAAATAAATAAATGTATAAATAAATATATAAATAAATAAATGTATAATTAAATAAATGTACAAATAGGTAAATAATTCTATAAATTAATAAATAAACCTGATAAGCACAGATTCGATAAAAACACTGGGACGAGAGGGTTAAAGAAAGGAATCGGTCCGCGGAGGCAACAGTTCGACGGCGGTAAGCCGCGTCGAGCGGCGTCGAGGCGAGTCGGCACGGCCGGCTATAAAAGCCCTCTCGCACCGAGCCGTCGACGTCACACGTCGTTAGTACTCTGCACGGTGAGGAACTCTGGCGTACCACCTGTTATCCCAGGACGAAACCGCTCGGTTATCATTCACGCACGAGAAAAAAATATATAAATCGTAGTCTATCGAGTCTCGAGTGAAGAGGACCTCGAGGTATATCGCTGTGTGCCCACGGAACACCGGAAGTTGCTTCGTCAGGATCGCGGCTCGATAAGGTCTCGAGGGAAGGTCCTCGATTTGACGTGCCTGCCGCGTTTCCCCAAGGAATCAACCCATATTCGAGTTTGTTTCGAGGAAGAGATTTCTCTGTGAAGAAGACAATTTCTCAGCGACGACGCTGTCAACGGCTACGACCTTGTAACTCGAAAGGTAAGTGGTCCTCCGACGTTTTTCGCCCGTATTCGCTTTTCTTCTTCCCCTCGAGACGCTTCCTTTAGATTTCTTGTTCAGAACAAATTTTGGAGAACTAAACATTAACACTTGATTTACCAACACTTACAGTTTTGTCTATTGCTGTTGGAAAAATTGGTATTCCTTCATTTAGATGTTAGAAATTAGAAGTTTAATCTTTTGCACTCATATATTATGCTGGAGATGGCAATACAAATTTGTTGTACTTTATTTGTGGTACTTTAAACGGTACCACACTTTAAAGGATTGTTAAAACTAAATCTTATTATAATTATAATAAATAAAATAAATATAAAACGTTGAATTCTACCACTGCAAATTACTTTAATTTATTTCCCTAAGAATACATACAGGTTTACACCTAACAACATTGAAATTAAATCGAATGCGAAGTGTTAACATTAGAAAATTAGGGTATATCTTTGCGTAAGTGCGTCAATGAAAATCAATCCAAACATTTTGCAAATAATGTTTATAAAATTCGATATTAGTCGAATTCCTTCGTTCCGTGAATCTAGTGCTAACCGAGCGAATCATTCACTGAAGTAATTTTACAAAACAAAAAGTAGAGAAAATTAGTGGAATTACGTAGATAAAGAAGCAATCGAGTGCTTTAATCCTTTACAGACGAGAATTTGTCAAATCTTTAGAAACCGTTTCCATAAACAATTTAATGATGTATCAAAATTTTAAATATTAGAAAAAGAAAGAAAATGGTGCATCGATCTCCCATTATTTGAATAATTAAATTGTCAATTTTAGATATGACAGTTTGAAGTCGTTATTAGGCGGACATTCGACCGCAGAGGGTTAATATCGAAGTTTAGAAAGTTTCGAAAAGTAGAATTGGTTAGGTTTGACCTGAGAACAACTGGAACGTTACGTTTCATTTCTTTCGTGTTAATTTCGTCAGCTACGGCTTCGATATTCCTATTTTATCTTCAGCTTGTCTCGTTCGGGAGCTATTAACCCCTTACCTCGCGATTTCTTTGGCGACCACGTTAAAACCGCTACTTTATTAATTTATTGGGAGGAAAAGGAATTCTGTGTTCGCCGGAAATCTTTGTTTACTTTGTTGATTGAACTTTATTAATGGAGAATGTAGTATTGGATTTCGATTTAGAGGAAATTAACGGCGTTTCTTTTACTGAACTCTAATTTTTGCCGTGAGCCTCTTTTAACACTAGAAATACCGAGAGTGTAATAGGATTAATATGTGATTCTGTAAAAAATTGTAATAATAGATTTTTTTTCGATTTCTTCGTATATTCATTATAGTATTCGAATGAAAGTATTTAGTTTTAAAATCATGTTGGATATTTAACGCTATCAAGATGTCAATAATTGCGAAATAAGAACATTGAAACCCGTCGTTTTAGGTGTAGTAGTTCTAGTGTTAATATTATAAAATAAAGGTTGATTATAAATTTTGAACGTTTTGTTATCCAAAATTAGTATTTCTTAGTAACAAATTTTAATGTCACTCAGAAAAATTCTTTTGAAAAAGTCTTCAAAAGTTTAAGTGAAAAAATGTATACAACTTTGTGCAATCACTTCTATTGGCAAATTTATGTAATTTACAATTATAAGGACTTAGAGTTGCCAAGTCTTTAGCCAAACTATCATTTTCCTTGTTCTCTGTTTAAGCAAACATAGCTTAGAGCGAAATTTCAGTGTCAGTAAGAGAAATTCTTTAAAAAAAGGTTTCAAAAATTGAATCACAAAATGAATATAATTCGTATGCAATCACTTGTGTTAGAAAACGTATATAATTCACAATTATAGGAATTTAGAGTTGCCATGTTTCTGAACAAACTATCACTTGCCTTGCTTCGTATTTAAACAAATCAAGCTTACAAGTGAATACCACTATCAATCAGAAAAACACTTTTGAAAAAGAATTCAAAAACTTGAGTAAAAAAAGCAGTATAATCTTATGCAATCACATTTATTGGAAAACTTACACAGTTCAAAATTATAGGAATTTCGAGTTGCCATGTTTTTGAACAAACTATCACTTTCCCTGCTTTCTATTTAAACAAATATAGCTTAAGCCAAGAAACGTGATTACTTCGCTATCTTTCTATCTACCTGTACGAGTATGGAAGATTCTATCGCGTTTGGAACGGTGTGTGCAGTTCGCGGGTGAGAGGTTCGCAGCGTTGCACGCGCCCCGAGATCGCTGGAATTTTAACATCTGTTGCGGATAGTGGCGACGAGATTAGGCGAACGGTCGGTCGTTTTATTTATCTTCGGCTTTCCTTGGCCGACCAAGGTGGTTCAAGTGCGTGACGTATGATTCGTGCCGCTCGTAGGCTTGTCGTTTACCAGAGGAACGGCGAGGATCGTTTCAGCGAGTGCAATGCTATTAGTTCAATGTGCGTCCCTAATATTAGGTTGTTCTGAAGTTTAGTTTTACTACCATCCGACTCCTCTGTGGAATTATAGTTTAAAGTTGTTAAGGAAGATTTCTATTCGAGCCTTACAATTAGTCCATGATAAACTGTTGAAAGTTGTACTCCAAATGAAGATATGCAGCAAAATCATAAATAAGGTTCCTTGAAGATTAGTGGACCAAGTTGGAAGATTATCTTCTGTATTGAAATAAAGCTTTTTATTGTATAATTTTTATACTATCTTATTGCGTAAGTTATTAGTAGGTATATAAATAAATATATTATATAATTATTGTATTATATAACAAAATTATAGTATTCTTATATTTAGAAAAATTAGTAAAAAATTATTTTATCATTTAAATTTCATATTTAAAAATAACTTTAAATATCCGTAAATAATTTTGAATTAAGTGTTTTAGCGAAGAAAAGTAATCAAGTGTTTTATTAGTATTTACTGAATTATTAAAGACTCTTTTTAGATCCAGAAATTATCTATTCATTGTTAGGATTCTTGAAAAGAGTTTTAAAGAAATGAGAACATTAGAAAACTCTTGAAATGTTCACAAAATATATATTTCGAAACAACTATATCTAAAATAATTATTAAACGGAATATTTCTTTTTCAAAATATAAAGATTTAAGTGGAAAAATTTGAGTTTGAAAGGATTTGTATTTTGCGTAAGACTTTTATAAATAATCATTTAAAATTGTGATAAATGATCCATCACAATCAAAAGCACAGATTGAAATCTTAAAGTTTCAGACAGATCTTGTAATCGAACTTTACAACGTTTCATAGCTTTCATTGAAGTACGTAGTTCTGTGACAGAAACTGTACTAAAAAACGTCTATGACTATGCAAACCGAACATATTGCAATTATCATTTCAAAATATTGATTTCGTATAATAATTACAGAAACGCAATCACGTTTCCTTTGCGAGTATGCAAACAGTGTATTTTATAAATTCATTTAATTTAATCAAACTGTTTGAAGTGTAACGTAATATCAGGCATCGCTGAAGTAGGGGCATCAGTGTAAAGTATGGTAATATGAAAACTTTGTGAATGCTCCGCACTGACGTTGTACTTTTTGTTATCTGATGAGACCATTAACGAAAGAAGCGAGTTTCTACATCATTTTTCTTTTCTGAAATTGAATCATGAACGCGTGAATCTGCATATACTTCCGCGGTTTAACCCCTTCTCCTATAATATCAGATTTGTAATAACAATTCGCAACTGAATTCGACCAACCTAAATGTTAAATATTACTTGTTTATTATCAACTTCTTTATTATTTTTCACATGAATGAAATGTCACTTTCCTATTATCAATTTTTAACCTCTAGAGCGAATGTATACATAGAATAAGTAACAAATTCTTTCTTTTTTCTATTAAATTGTTAACGATAAAATAGTTTTGTCAGTCATAATTGTGAAAGAACTCATAGGATAAGGGGTTAATAATCACACACAAAGGAACAGAGTCCCATACTGATCTGAATAAGGAAAAGTGACTCCAGGACAATAGTGTCCCTTTCCTGTTGTAACCGATAGTATTGTGAGTCGTGAATTCGATCAAAGTGTAATAGGGTTGACATCTCCAATTTATGGAAGTAACAAACATATTTATTAATTCCTAACTCAAAATCAATAAATACAAGTAAAATATGAACAGACTATAAATATTATATACAACAAAAACCTATCAACCATACATAAACTAATAATCAAATCTAATATTTATTTTGTAAAATGAATGTCTCTTTTGTCTCCAACTGTACCTCATTCTCATAACAATCAGTTTATTACAGATACACATAAAATAAATGGAAAAAGTAGAATCAACGAGGCACTATAATCCATGTTATCAATGCAAATGCAAAAGCTACACGTAAACATGAATGATGGAGGTCATAAATATTTTGCTACTATTTTATTGTATTGGGTGAAGCAAAGAACATCGATTAACTTGGTCTCACAGAACCGGTCAATCTCATTCGTCATTTTTATTAGGGATTTCCGTTAAACGGGTAACAAGAGAGCGAACGCGATAAAGTGAAAAGCATTGTCTGAAAAGGTTACTAAGTACCTTCAGTAATTTACCGCTACTTCCCTCCCATTCAGGTGTGACTCACTCGCCGTTTTATGTTTCGTCAGAGCTTAGAAACTCGCGCTCAGGTAGCCGAACGATAAGTCACGTGTGCACCTTTCAGAATTATTCGATTTCTCGTTTCAGTATCTTACTTCAGCTTTGCTTTACACTCCCGTGCCCGCTAATTAACGCGAGAGGTTAACGATCAACTGCGCGGAATCTTCGCGTGATATCGCGTTGCGTGCCCCGCACAGAGAAATCCTGGTGCACTGTGAATAATAAATTAAGCCACCTTAAGCTTGTCATATAAACTTGCTTTTATTATAGATTCTAATTTGAAAAAAGTCTTAGACAATTATCGTCTTCCTTCTACGCGCAATTCGTCGCTTTTTTAGCTTAGTAATTATAAGAATGGATTCTACATTTGTGTTGGTCAGATGTGCATGTACGGTACTCTTTTT